CTTGGTTTACATCACTAGACGCCAACAACTCTACAAAAACCAAAACACGAGTGTGATCTAGAACTGACAAATCTTTCTCACCATTTCTTATCCAATAGATCGGTTTTAAAATGATTAAACCTTCTTGGACAGCCCACGCTGGACCCAGATCTCCAGTCTGCCACCATCAGCTCCAGTACTGAGCATCATAAGTGCTTTAAAACTCAACATAAACACTTCTCTCACAGTCTGGTGGGAAGTCTTCACTTATCCCATGAAACTAACACCGATTTGGAACAATCCCGATATTTATCAGAAAAAGATGATGCTTTGAGGTTTTTCACTGTGGCAGGAGAAGAGGAAAAATCCAGAACATGTTCTACAAGATGGAAAGTTTGTTTCACTTGAAGAACCTGTATCAACACATAGATCATACAGTTCAATCCCAGTGAACTGAATCTAGAAATACCTGCTTGGGTATCAAACGTTTTAAATATCTGTACCTCAAAAAGTTTGTACATTTTTGATAATCGATTGTTTAAAATTGACAAATCAATTTCCCCCCAACCATAAACTGGGAGCAAAACTTCTGGACACAAGTTTTGGAGTGTCTATGCATCTGCCTCCGTTGGTGACGGTTGAGAAGTGGGGTGGGTGCTGCCTAACGGTCTTGGGATGTGGGCTCTGGGGTGCTTGTGGTGCGGGGGACTTGCCCCCAGCTGGGTAGCTGGCCTCATCTGGGCAGGGGCGAGTGCTGGGCCTGGGATCCCAGCGCCCGGGGTCGCCTGGTCTCCCTCTGTGGGGGCTGTCTGCACCTCCCTGGCCAACTCGCCGTGCGGTGTGGGCCGACCCACATTAGAATGCCCACTCTGCGCCTCCGGCCCTCGTGGGTGCTGTTAGGCCAATTGGGTGGGTTGGGGCGTCCAGGTGAGGGAACAACCGTTGTTGGTGCAGCTCGTTTCAGACCCAGACCAGTTTGTCTCGTCCCTTTAGTGTGTGTGTCTGTTGTAACTGATTGGTATTGTGACAGTGTGCAGATGAGCCCCAGTCTACTCTGTGTGGTGGGGGTAGTGGGTGCCCCAGACTCGGTGGTGTTTGTGAATTTTCAGGTGCCCTGGAAACCTGTACCAAATCAGTACCAGGGTGGCTGGTCTCTAGCGACTGGCCGTTGGTCCTCTGGGACTCTCACCCTTTGGCTGTGGACCCATCTGGGGTCTCCGTCCCTCTCCTGCTAGGATGGGCCTGCAGATGTCGCAGAGATGTGCTGCCTCAGGTCTTCGATACTCCTGGGGGCTACGAATGCCACGGTTGTCCTGGTTCATTATTTGCCTCTAGCTCCTGGGGGACATTACTGGGGCTTCCCGTCCTCATTATGAAGTCCATTTGTGACAAAGGCAGTTATTATAACCCTCTCTCACTTACTCCCAGTACAAGTAAACTGTTGATTTAAGTATCTGCGTATTTTCCCATTTATGTGCTCTGGGAGCAGCTGTTGGTGATACGTTGTGCATTTCTATTTGTACTCTATCCTTTTATTAGTACTCTTTTTCCTGCCTGTCCTGCCTTACACGTCCTCATACGACACCACATTTAATAATAACTGAAATAACACAAATAGAAATGAATACATGAACAGATAAAAGATGCAGAGATTCAAAATGTGCTTCACATCACAGTTTAGATCCATATTCTGATGGCAAAGCTGCTGTCATGAAGCCAAAGAGAACTGAAGTGAGCTCCCATCAGCACAGCTGATGCTTAACTGAACCTTTTAAGTGCCACCCACAGAGAACGAAAGGCTTTAAATAAGTCTGATTACAAGCAGACTGTCAGCTGCACAG